ACGTTGAAAGGTTATTATCATTACTTAGTAGAAGTTGTATGTTCTTAATATTTTCATCGTTGCGTCATCGTCACGTCATCGGTATGTCATTTAAATTATTAATCAATATCATTAATTTCATCATTACTTAGTTTTTTTAAACCTCATATCGATGGTTGAATTCTTAATCTTTTATTTTTCTCACTTACCTCTTCTTTCCATCTAAAAAAAATTTTTTTTACGGCGATTACGAATAAAATTAAACCACACTTATTAATTTATTTCATTTATTAAAATTAAACCACACTCATTAATTTATTTCATTTATTAAAATTCAATTTAATCCGTAACAAGATTCCATTTCACACTGCCAACTGGTGCTAGCCTAACTGTCAAGATGCCTGGCACTTGTTGCAGTGACTGGATTCGATTTCACAGAGATCCCGTCTGTCAGCTAACCACATGCAACTATGTGTGGGTGATTAACGTGTATTCATGTACACTATGTGTGGCTTATGTATGTATGTGTGTGCGTGTGTGCGTGTGTTTGTTTGCTGACGGTACTTTTGCTGTACACTGCTAAACGAAGCAATGAAATATTTTAGAATGATTCAATACTATTCAATATACTTAACTGCAAAAAGGTAAATTTAAAAGGAGAGATGCATTGTTTTAGTTCATTTAAAGTTTTCCAATCTTAATCACAAAGGAAATGGATTTCCAGTACCGAGAGGAATGGGATTCCATGCGATCCGAGAAAGGATGCTGAATGTGACAGGATGAAGATTTAAAAGTAACTGGACTAAGCTGAAGTTAATGGATGTCGCTGGAGAAGTAGCTGCCGACCGCAAAATGGGGTAGGATGGTCGGGAAGAAATGAACAGCTGAAGCTAGGTCAAGAATGCTTACATGGCATAACATGACGCGACTTTAGTTCATCAACATTATCTAGTTATTCATCATCATTTTATAAATCATCATCATCACCACCACCACCAACATGTTTAATCCTAACAATAATAACAGTTAATTGTAAATGTTAATAAATTGTTAAGAAGCAAAGTCAAACTTGACACCATGCCTCCTTCGGACACTGTGGTTTGTTAAAATTTAAATTAAAAATAAAATTTGGACCTCCGAGGCGTCAACCTAGTTGACTTTATCTTTTATTATTCAATATTATTCAATAGTAAATTTTACGATGGTGGTGATGACGATGACGATGATGATGACGACGATGACGATGACTAGGATGAGTTCAAATCTTATATTAAAAACTCTTGCGATAAAACAATCAAGAAAATTATTACAAAATAGTACTAATAGCAGTAGTAGCAGCAACAGTAGCAGCAGCAGTAGTAGTAGTAGTAGTAGCAACAGTAGTAGTAGCAGTAGTAGTAGTAGTAGTAGTTATAAAAGTAACAGTAAAACTAACACAACACAGTAAAACACAAGCAGGTAGCATAAGCCACAAAAATCAATATTTTCATCATTATCACTACCACCGTTATTATCATCATCATTATTATTCTCAGTATTATAACCATCATCGTCGTCATCATTGTCAGCATCATCATCATCAGCATCATCATCATCAACAACAGCAACATTATCATAATTACAAAATTTCCTAATTATCATTTTAATTACATTTGATGCGTAACACTGCTACTATTTTTGCTACTACAACTCCTACAACTACTTTTACTAATATTACTTCTACTACCACTACTACTACTATCGCTACTACTACTGCTACTACTACTACTACTGCTGCTGCTACTACTACTACTACTGCTACTACTGCTGCTACTACTACTACTGCTGCTGCTACTACTACTACTACTACTACTACTAGGTACATACTTACTCTTCAACCCCAATTAGCGCTCTAGAGGTCAAAACAACTACAACGACAACAATAACAACAATAACAATAGCAATAACAATAATAAAAAAATAATAATAAGAATAATAAAAATAGTTTGACCCCAAAGTCTGACCAATAAAATTCGTTCTATCAATTTATAACCCGCGGATAGGTGACAATTATTACAACGGGACCGCCAACTGTTTAATTAATGACTGTAAAAAATTAAAATTGAAATAAATAAGTAATTAAATGAATATTTTTTTTTTAAATTAAAAATATTAATAATAACAAGTAGTAATAAAATTAATGAGGTGTCGAATTATGGTTTTATTTGGTGTTACCTTAGGCCTCCAAGTTAATTTTATTGACAGAATAGTTACGAATGATTAGGTATATATAGACTAATCGATTGAACAACAGTTCGAAATTGAAACTAATCATTCAGCAAATCATTCAATCAAAAAAACATATTTTCAGTTTATTGTTATTGAAATTGATCTATAACCAGTTAACAGATCACGATTAATCAAAATCGATTCAATAGTTACCGGCGAATACCAATAGTCAAGTCGACTATCGATTCCAATCAATAACGGTCTATCTAATTACCGATCTATCGATCAACCGACCAGCCAGTTCCGATTTATCGTTTAATCGTTCCAACACAATCAGATGGAAAACAAGTCAGCTAATAGTTACACATTCGTGAATGAAGATGATTTTGTTAAGGACTTTAGCGAGGCAATCACTTATTTTGGGACGACATATAAGGATCAGCTTAAGAGCCTTAGACAGGACAAAATGACCGCCAATAATGTCAATACCGTTATCAGTGGCTGTAGCAGCAGCAGTAGTAGCAGCAGCAGCAGTAGCAGCAGCATCAATAGCTTCATCAACAGTAACAAGAGCAACACTACCACCACCAACAACAACAGTAACAACAACATAGTTAAATTTGAAGATGACTTCAATATCTTCAACAACATTCCCAATTTCGAGGATGACTCGTTTGATTACTGTGGCGAGTCATCTAATATGCTAGATAGGCTACAGCACGACAACATCAGCGATGATGACGTCAAAAAAAATGACGTCATCAAGAACGAAAACAACAACACCATCAGCAATGAAGTCAACAATAACAACATCATCAGCAATGTAGTCAACAACAACATCAAAAATAACATCCTCAACAACAACAATAAAAACAATATCTTTGACAACAATAACAACATTATTAATAGCTACAACGACAGCAATAACAACAACAACACCAACGAAATCGCCTCTGGCAACAGAAACAACAACAGCTCTACAACCACCATCAACAACAACAATCACAATGTCGCTAGCAGCAGCAACAGTGGCAGCAACAGCACCACCACTACTACATTCAACAACATCAACAACAAGCAAACTAACTTTTCCAGCAACAACAACGATAACATTAATAACATTTTTATTAACAACAACTTCATCAGCAATCGTGACATAAACATTGATCACAATAACAATTTGACATCAAATTTTCATTACGACAACGACATTAGCAACAACAATGACATAAACATCCATAACAACAACAACAACAACGCAGTCACAAATAACAACATCAACAACAAAAACAACGTGTTTAACAACTGCATCATTAGCAATAACGTAAACATTAACAACAACATCAACAACAACATCAACACAAACAACATCATCGCCAACAACAATATCATCATCAGCAACAACGCCGACATTAACAACGACAACAACATCAACACAAACGACATTGACGAGAGTGTTTATACAGCAGAACTGAAACTATTTGATGAGCTCTACGAGAAGTATGTGCTGGAAGTCAACAAATTCAACATCCACAAATCTGCTGCTACTGATAGCAATGAATCAGTTTTGGATGAATTCATTTTGAACTTAAACGCAGACTATGAGGAGTACTGCAAACAAAAGCAACAGCAACAACAGCAACTTAATCAACAACAACATCAACAACAACAACAGCAACTACAGCAGCCACAAAAGCAACAAAGTTTACCACGTCAACAGCAGCAACAACAACTACAACATTGCCAACAACAATATCAACAACAGCCGCAAAACTTACAACATCAACATCTGCAACACCAGCAACAATTACAACAACAACAGCAATTACAACAGATTCATCAATACCCACAACCAAAAACGTATCCACAACATTATCAGCAACTTCATCAGCTGCAAGCAATAAAACAAGAAGCCGGTGAAAATGTTGTCAAATTCATTCCAAAAATCACAACAACAAAAGCACCGGCCAAACCCAAAGGCAAGCAGAGGTTCTCGTTCTCGGAGGAACAAGTTACAGCGATGGAACAACAATTCCAAAAAAGTCCCTATCTTTCCAGGACCCCTCGGCTAATGCTCTCCTCAACATTAAATATTCCAGAAGTCCAGATCAAAAATTGGTTTCAGAATAGGAGGATGAAAGGAAAGAAAGAGGGAACATTGTGAGAGAGAGAGAGAGAGAGAGTGGGGGAGAGAGAGAGAGGGAGATTCGAACATGTTCAATTTCTGATTCAGAGCTACAATGTGTTCAGGAAAATATGGAATAAAATAACTTTTTTTTTATTATCGCGAAAGAATCTTTTTAACCTGATTTAATAATTTTTTTTTTAAATTCTTATTTAATATAAATCTAGATCATTATTTTATTCGTTTTAAATTAAGGTTTTATATTTTCTTAATGATTGTAAATATGTACACTATCGTCAATTTTATTTTATGTCTGATTTGAATAAATT